TGACAGGGATCGGTCTCGCAGCCCTGACCATCGGTACATTTTTAATTTGGCGCTCCAATGATGCACATGCTAACCAGACGGCAGGGACCGTGAGCGTGACTCCAAAGATGACCGTGATGATCGTGACCGTCGGGAGAACGGTACGAATGGTGACGAGCGCAAGGGTATGTCTTCCAACTCTTGAACCACTTGACTTTGGCTCACTCTGGGTACAGCTCTCGATAGTCCTCCTCCTGCTCACGACGATCTTGATGTTGCCGAGTAGACGTCTTTCTGACAACAAGAGACTCCTTGTCATTTCTGACCAGGCTACTCAAGTAAAAGTTTCTGCGACCTGCTTAGGGCCGTCATTGCTCCCTATATTTGACAGGTCCACTGTGTAATATTGTTTGAAAGGCCCAGCCAATACGGCATGGAACGTATAAGATTCTGCGGATGCCATGTTGGGTCGGATATGGGTGCATTGTTTTTTCCAAGACTGAAGGCATTTGCCACGGCGCGTTTCCTTTGGAAGTTATCATTTCATAGGTAGTTTATCTGTAGACTGTTTTGTAACACGATTCGGCGCAACGGGTCAACGATCTGTCTGTATCGCACAATTCTCGAGCCTCCTTTGCACTGACACTATTAGATATACACCAGATGACGATGACGTTGTGCATTTCAGGGCTGTGACTGGTTCCGTTCATGCGGTCGCGCTACAGAGCGTAGGGATTTATCGTGGCCAGTCACCATGAAACTTCTGTCTTCCCCAGCCCCTTGCCCCTGTGCCTAGCTGAAAGGAGTCTGATCAATGGCCGACTTTAGTGACTAGTTAGTAGCTATTCTTGAGTTGGCGCCTCTCAGATTCCACCTTCAAATAGGATCCATCAGAGACGACTCTGGCGTGTGGAATGGGCACAGGATAGCGTTACCGGGATACCGCCCTGGGCCAGATGCGTACAAGACCCGTACAGTCTTTATTTGCACAAAGCACCAGTTTTTACCAATGCTGCCAACCTGCCCCGTTCATATGACCACTTGGACGCATCTGCTCGTTGTCATATGCTCTCTACTTACCCTGTAGCGCAGAGAGCCACCGACCCGGCTGCGAGACCTTTCTACCCCACAGTCAAGCGTTCCAGGTCCTACTTCTACTTCTACCGAGCGGAAACCGGGGGACCACGCGCGCGCCCCGAAGTCATCCGCAACGCCGGTTCACGCGCCCCCATCCGCTCCTTGACGACGGCACCGATCCCGTCTCCCGTCCGTCAACATCCTCTTCCCATCATCGATCAAGGCTGTTCATATAAAGACGATACCTGCCCAACCGCTGACGAACCTAATCGCCAATAATCCGCTCGCACGCCCTGTCGTGTGTCGGTTCTGGCGCAGACTCGAAAACTTCTCCCCAAATGGTTGCTTTCACTCTATCCTCACCTCAACCTTCCAGCATGCCATTACTATTCTTTCAACCACAGTAACAATTGGAGACACAATCGTTTGACAGGGAATACCCAATACCGAAGACGATATTCAAATTTTGAGGCCAGCTGCCACTGTCGCAATCGAGGTTGAGATCTTGCAACTACTTTAAACCTGGCGCTTTCAACAAAGACGAAGCCTTGTCTTGGGACCAATTGCCATTGTCTCACATACGACGCAATACGTTCGCATGTCTCCCGTCGCCATGTCCACCTCCACCGTACGTCATGCATGCGCTGACTGTTGACTGGGATGCAGTCTTGTTGCAAAATCATTTTTCTCATGAAAGATTTGCTAATCAGGTATTATAGTCACAACCAGACATGGTCAATTCGACCGAGGCTGCGGCCCCTAGCCGCTCCATGCAGTTTCGGGAGACCATCTCTCAGCCTGTGATCGCCGCATTCTGCGCAGGAGGTGTTGCTGGCGCTGTCTCTCGAACCGTCGTATCCCCCCTTGAGCGGCTCAAGATCCTCATGCAGATCCAAAGCGTCGGACGAGATGCGTACAAGCTGTCAGTGGGGAAAGCCCTGAGTAAGATGTGGAAGGAAGAAGGCTGGAGGGGATTCATGCGAGGCAACGGCACGAACTGTATCCGCATCGTCCCATACTCTGCTGTGCAATTCAGCAGTTATAACTTTTATAAGCGGGTATGTAATGCTTCAGACGAGGCTCACGCCCATACCCACCAAGCTAACACATACGCAGAACATCTTTGAAAGCTACCCGGGTGCTGACTTGGCACCGATTACTCGCCTTATCTGCGGTGGCATCGCTGGTATAACGTCTGTCTTCCTTACCTACCCTCTCGATATTGTTCGCACACGGTTATCCATCCAATCTGCAAGCTTTGCCGAGCTAGGAAACAGGCCAGACAAACTGCCTGGTATGTGGACTACTCTGGTGCAAATGTACAAGACCGAGGGTGGCATGTCTGCTCTATATCGAGGCATTATTCCTACAGTTGCCGGAGTAGCACCATACGTAAGCCCCTAATTTCCCACCTGCATTAACATACAAGTTTCAAGAACTGATTGATTCCTCCAGGTCGGTCTTAATTTCATGGTTTACGAATCAGTCCGAAAGTACTTGACGCCAGAAGGAGAGCAAAACCCTAACGCAACCCGTAAGTTGCTGGCCGGTGCCATATCTGGAGCTGTTGCACAAACTTGCACATATCCCTTGTAAGTAACTCTGCTGTAACAATTATGTGATCGCTCTGCTTACAGAACACACAGCGACGTTCTACGGCGCCGATTCCAGATCAACACCATGTCAGGCATGGGCTACCAGTACAAGGGCATTACAGATGCGATCCGGGTCATTGTGATGCAAGAGGGAATCAAGGGACTTTACAAAGGCATAGTGCCTAACCTGCTCAAGGTTGCCCCAAGTATGGCATCAAGCTGGCTGAGTTTTGAGATGACCCGTGATTTTCTCGTCGATCTCAGGCCCGAATCTGAGCCACGCTCCTTGTGATTTTATATAGATATGTGAAGATAGTTTGTACTACAGAAGGGGTTCCTTTTCAGGCATGGCTTTTGGCATTGGGGGGGAACAAGAAAGGAAACGGACTGGCGCAGTCATGGGAGACGTCAGGGGCGTAGATTCGTACAGCCATGGAGCAGTTGGAGTAAATGGCACAAGCTTTGGTGCGAGGCCTGTCATATATATTACTGGATGATGCATAGAGGTTAAGAAGATCTGGCTGCGGATACGGGGCAGAGACACTTGAGTTGATAGACAAATACCATCGTAGTCCCTATACTGGATCACTTGAATGGCTACAAGTAAGACCTTCATGTCTTCGCTTCGGGATGTTAGAGGTATGTTTGCATCATTACCTATTATATCTCATGGCGCTGGTAAAGTCGTGGAATGGCAGCATGATTAGAACACCTATAAGTGATCCTTACCTGAACTGAAGATATGCGTAAGGAATGGTCCATGGTCAGAGATACTATAGGTACCTAGTAAGTTGACGAAGTCATAGATAGCCCCCAGACCGAGGAGGTGAGTTCGGTGACAGCCTGACCCGTCCTTAAGCTGACCTAGGGACCTTACCTAGAGTGGTTAGCTCCATTTTCGGTGGTAAGCTCCGGGGAAAGCACCCAAGCCCTAACTGCCGTCAATGACCGCCTTCAATCGGGGAAGAGCGAGTTGCGCCGACCCACCATCCCAAGGCCTGAATTTTCTCGAAGGAAAGTGCTGTTCGACGCATCCGCCTCTATACCCAACATCGCCAAATTTCACAGCGACAACCGCCGCCATGGGTACGTGAAGATATTGAAGTTCAGCCTCTGTATGCGAGTAGAGAAGGAGTGCGCTATCGTGCCTCTTTCTCTGCGACTAAGGCACCATCTTGTTCGCGAAAGCGCAAGACAGAGTTGCCCATTTTTGAGCATGCTTGAACCAAATGGCTGACGATGGCTTCACCTCACAGGTATCGATCTCGACCGCCACCACGTCAAGGGCACTCACCGCACTGCCCCCAAGAGCGACAATGTCTACCTCAAGCTCTTGGTGAAGCTCTACCGCTTCCTGGCCCGTATGTCCAATCCCCCACCTGAAAGCGCACAAACTCGATCGAGAACTTTCAATTAACCATTTCCTCACATTGTGTAGGCCGAACCGACTCTTCGTTCAACAAGGTCGTTCTCCGACGTCTCTTTACGTCCAAGATCAACCGCCCTCCCGTCTCCCTGTCCCGAATTGTCGCCAACATCAACAAGGAGGGTGAGAAGCGAACCGTCGTCGTTGTCGGTACCATCACCGATGACAACCGCCTGCTCGAGTTCCCCAAGGTGACTGTCGCTGCTCTGCGATTCACCGCCACTGCCCGCGCCCGCATTGTCGCCGCTGGCGGTGAGGCCATCACCCTGGACCAGCTTGCTCTCCGTGCTCCCACCGGAAGCAACACCCTGATCCTCCGTGGCCCCAAGAACGCCCGTGAGGCTGTCAAGCACTTCGGCTTCGGGCCCCATAGCCACAAGGTAATATTGTCTACTTATGGCGTTTCGGTACCAATCTCTAACACCCACTGCAGAAGCCTTATGTCGAGTCCAAGGGCCGCAAGTTCGAGCGTGCTCGTGGCCGAAGACGCTCGCGCGGTTTCAAGGTCTAAGCGACTGGTTGGGGAAAAATATTGGCCTTGGGTGGAGTTTGGGCCAGGTTATGTGGCAAATGAAGCCAAAATACGACTGGCAAATGGGTCTTGCATGGAATTGGCGTGCCTAGGTATCACAAAATTCTACAATGAAATTCTCGCGCATTACTGCCGTCATGATGTTGTTCGCTTCTATGTGATTGCAGATGGTAAGCCCACCCCTGGCACCATTCATCTTGAAGGATTATAAGACGGCAAATCCAACGCCACATGATTCCTATAGATACACATGTTGTACACATCCACCGAGACCTATTCGTCTATGTCCGTGGGTTCTATCGTAATACCAGATTTCCTCCGTAGGCCAATAAAGTATGCTTCCCGGCTCTCCTACCCAAGGAATCAGTAAGTTGTATCGAGGCCTGGAGCATCATGATTCGACTTCGGGGAGTACCTTTCTTGAAGAATCAGGCTTTTCTCTGAAAACTTTGGTGAAGAGAGTTTTCAATTTTTTCTCGAACTCCTTGTCCTCGGGTCCCTGGTAGAATTTACAGACGAAATGTCCCCCAGATCGAAGAGTGTCGCTAGCAAACTGTAGAGCAGCAGCGCAAAGGTCCTTTGCTGAGGTGTTAGTACAGGTTACTTGTGACATGATTCAGGAGCCTCTACCATACTGCCCACATGGTCACGGAAGCCGTTTCCGCTCGTGTTCATCAACCTATGATAGGGATTACTCAATGTCTTCACGCTAAAGCCGGTGGTTTGCTCCCAGGGTGCTGACATGTCACTCAAAACAACCTGCTAGAGCATCAGCATCTTGAAAGGTTTTCTAGAAAGAGGGAATTGACAAACATCGACGATGCGCTTGCTTGATCCTTCTAGTCCAGATGGTGGTGGCTCGTTTTGCCCCGTGTGTCGTTCCATATCGAGATAGCTAGGGCGGTCGACCGTGATGCCTTCTTCTGCGACAGAGCTGTCGGATTCCACAGTTTCCTGACCAATAGATGGGTTCTGATGGCTTTCAAGAATGAAGTTTTTGACCATCTCCTGGACAACTGGCGAAAGAAAATCGCCCTGAAATGTAGCTACACCACGAGGCGGTTGGGCTGGGATGAGGTCGATACCAATGACCCGGCCATGCGGTCTCGTCCTTTCCACAGCAACCTTTATTTATCAACAAGGCTGTTCACTTCGATGGCACTGAGCCTTACCTGTGACCAACTGCCTGGTGCATATCCCTTGCGGGAGTGAGCTCAACGATTCACATGTCGCTAGCAGAATGAGAGGAGAACTGGACTTACCAGGTCAACCACTGTCTGCCCATTGCCTTTGAACAGCTTGTACTTGGAGTCCATCTAGCCACTATATTAGCTTGCATCAACGTAATCTGACGAGTGGAGTAGAATTCACTTCTAGGAGCTTGAAAGCTGCTCGGCTTTTGAGCCCTTGAACCTTTGCACCTCGTGCATATGCGTCACGGCCTTGTCGCTGTTTCCAACGAGACCCTGATGAGGACCATCGGATCGGTTCAGCTAATGGTCGTGAGTGAAGCAAGCATGGGCTGAGCTTCCCGCCCAGGCTTGGGAACAACGAAAGCAGTCGGATGTTCATCAAATTTGGCGAGTTGAAGTAGACGTTCTTGGTGATAAAACTCTTCGTAGCTATCCCTCAAATACAATGGTTGGGGGGCAGGCTTTAATTAGAATCGGCGCAACACTGGCAGGCACCTTGTTGTAATATCAGTATCTGAGCATAAGGAGGTTGGTGTAATGATCTTATTCACAGTACTGTTACTACTGGTTGTAGAGAGCAAATAGTGGTCATTCACAAGATCCCTTGATACCTTACCTGCTAAGGCATAAGGAACTAGGCTAACCTATACCTTATGTTGCCATATATTCAACCCTTCCAAACATTGATGGAATCAGAGTGCATGTCAATACTGAGCATGGGTGAACACAAAACGTTAAGGCAGATAAGAAACAGTCATTATCTCAATTCAAAACCTTTGCGCCTACCGAGCAATCCTTGACCCAATACTGCCGCTATTTCAGATAACAAACAGCACAAAAGCAAACGCCATGCCATGCGATTTCCACACCTGCTCCTTAATAAGATAACCATACACTTTCCTTAATGTAAGAAACTGGCTCCCACTCCTCGCCTGTCCTTCTTCAACGGCGAGAATGTTGCTCCACCGAATGCACCACGAACATTTCCCAGCGGTGCCTTGAGCCTACGCCCGGCCCCCATCTGAATCTTTGCTGGTCTTGGAGCTGGTTCCGCCTCCTCATCGTCGAACAGAGTCTTGTTGCCACCACCAAGCATTTTTCGCTTCTTTTTGCGTGTATCTGCATCATCGTTTCCATTTCTCAACGACGCCGTAGCAGGGTTCGACTTCAGCAGTCCCGGTACCTTCTTGGGCTTCTCGATAGGTTCAGTTTCCGGTACGTCAGCCTCGTCAACTTCGGCTATCATCTCGATTCTACTAGAAGTCTTGGCTACCCTGGCCTTTCTCTTTGCCTGAACCGGCATGTTCTTCTTCGTTGTTGGGGCCTCGTCCAGGGCTTTCCTTGGTCTGCCCCGGGTCTTCTGTGCCTTTGGCTGCTCCTCTTCCTCCGGTGCAGCATCATCCTCAGCTTGATGATCTGGCTCTGCAGCCTCCTCTATGGGCTCCATAGACATAGAATCGCCAGGTTCTGGTGCAACATCTTGAAAGGCAACAGGTTCCGAGGCGCCTGTAGACTTCCCAGTGGGTGAGTGAAGTTCGCTTAGCTCATCTGACATGTTCTCCGAGAGATTCTTGGTACGGTTCAAAAAGGGCGTGATTGAGAACGTCGACTTCTCTCCTACTAAGGCGCGCTCAGCACCTCGTTTCTTGGAAGGCCGTCTCAAGGTTGCCTCATCTGGGCCTGGGGTTCCGATGCTGATGTCTTCCATGCTCAGGTCCTGGGCTTTCTTCTTTCCAATAGGATGTTCCTTCCTCGTGACACTCTTCTTGCTTGTCTTGTTAGTCGCCAGAGCCTTATGAGCTTCCTCCAGTTCAGCTCGACAAGACGCGAGCTCAGCTCGTGTGTCCTTGAGGTCTCCCTGCGTCTTCTTCAGTTTGCTTCTTGTATCCTCCACGCGGCCTTCGAGCATGTCACATTCACCGCGGACTTCCCGTAGCTCTCTGGTGTGTTCTTTCTTAAGCTTATCCAGTTCTCTCTTCGCTTCGTCCAATTGTTCCTTCACTTGATCATTGTCATGATTCTGGGATTGCATGCGTTTTTTTGATCGCCTCTCATTTTCGAGTTCCACCTCGATGGAACTAAGCTGACGCTCGAGATCCTGCTTCTGGGCAACGACGGCGCGATGGTTTTCGAGTTGCGTCTTGAGACGTTCAAGCTCGGGCTGAATCTGGTCAAGTTTATGACTAAGGGCGAGTTTCTCCTGCAAGACCTTGTTTGAGTCTTGTCTGAAGTCATTCAAAGAATTGATTTCGGTCTGGCTTTGTGTCAGGCGGACTTTCTGATGACTGTGGACCATACCCTACCTTGAGGCCTTCCAGCTCGTTGCCTTGTTTTCTGAGCTGCATTTCTTGAGCTTTCAGCTTCTCCTTCGCTTCGGCAAGCTCAACATGCACATCTTTCCCCTTTTTCGTCATCTGCTTTACGAGAGCATCTCGTTGGACCAGCCGATCCTTCAGGGATGAATTTTCATCGCGAAGAGTTAAGAGTCGCAGCTTCAGGAGACGAGCTTCCTCATCACGGCCTGTTAAGTCAATCTGATGGACATTTTCTTGGTGTCTCAACTCAAGGTCACTGATACGAGCCGCGCGCTGTAGTCTATAGTCAGTTCTGCAGTTGAAGTAGCCATTTCACGCGCATATCTACCTCCATGGACTTGGTCCTTTTCATGTTTGCCAATGTGATGCTGTTGACGAGACAGGCTTATTGCAGTAAAAAGAAACCGGTACAACTTCTGACAGCTGAGTATACTGAAGCCCTGGCAGATGCAGAGTCTAAAGAAAAACTGACATGCAATGCGGACCAAGTCGAGGGGGGATGAATCGTTATGGAAGACAGCCGAAGCCAACATAAGTGCACTGCCTTAGTACCCTATGTTTTGGCGACTTGGTATAAGCGTAAACATGTTGCTGCATCCAGATTAGCGCGGATGCTATCGATAATGCTTTCACGTGACCAGTACTCATTCGTCCAATGACGCCGCGGACGTCCCCGCCAGCTCGAAACGTCTGCTTAGGTAAGGCGCTTTGCTCGATTGAGAGGCCACCTCAGCTTCAGTGGCATTATAGCTACAGCTTCCGCAAGCAAGGTGGTAGATATAGCTTCAACAGTCTCCCACTTCTTTACTTACGGGCCAATCGGCCCCCGTCTTTCTCCTTCTTTGAACGAACTCCATCTATTTTTCTTGTCAACATGCGTTTTCTACGTTCACTTCTCTCTTTTGCCGTTCTTGCGACGGGCGTGGCAGCCGCCAAAAAGTCCTCCACTGAGCGGTTCGACGAATTCCATGCCAAGCAGAGCTCGACACCGCTCAAGCTGAAGGAATCGACGTATAAAACCCTGACCTCTACACCAAGAGACTACAGTGTTGCTGTGCTCCTCACCGCTGCCGATGCCCGGTTTTCCTGCCAGCTCTGCCGCGAGTTCCAACCTGAATGGGACTTGTTAGGCAAGAGTTGGGCCAAGGGTGACAAGGCCGGCAACTCACGACTGATTTTTGGCACTCTGGACTTTGTTGATGGCAGAGAGATTTTTATGTCGGTATGTACTACGCAAGATCGGAAGCTGTAGTGTCAATTTGGTTGCTGACGCTATGAATGAAGCTTGGCCTTCAAACTGCCCCTGTCCTCCTCTTATTCCAGCCCACTGTCGGTCCCCATGCTGCTCCAAAGCCAGAGCCACTGCGATACGACTTCAGTGCCGGGTGAGTAGTTTTGTCCACGGGCCTTCTGGGCGACTGACTAACAAGCAATATTCAGACCCCCGACTGCCGAGAAGGTTCACTCCTGGCTCGCTCGTCAGCTGCCCGACCGACCTCATCCTGCTGTCAAGCGACCTTTCAACTATGCGGGTTGGGCGATCACCATAACCATCGTCCTTGGAGTTATTACTGCAGGTGTTGTGGCTTGGCCGTATGTGTCTCACATTCTGCAGAGCCGCAACCTCTGGGCAGCCTTGTCCTTGATGACCATTCTCTTGTTTACCAGCGGACACATGTTCAACCATATCCGCAAAGTTCCCTACGTCACTGGTGACGGACGTGGTGGAGTTAACTACATCGCGAGCGGTTTCCAGAACCAACTCGGCTTGGAAACACAAGTGGTGGCAGCAATCTGTATGTCTCATCTACTCTCCTCTTGGCCCTGTTCCTTCTTCTGACTGCCCTTTCTAGACGGTGTCTTGTCGTTTTGCGCGATCTCTCTCGCTATCAAGGTTCCACGAATTGCTGAGGCCAAGTCTCAACAAGTCGCAGTCATTGCGTTTGGCGGCGCCCTGTTCCTTGTCAACAGCTTCCTGCTGAGCGTCTTCCGTGTCAAGAACCCTGGCTATCCATTCTCTCTGCCGCCCTTCATGTAAAATCATAAGGTAGGATGAGAACGCAAACAGCCGCCAGATGTTTCGGGAGAAGAGGACGCTGTGGACCAGCAGTCACAGGATCAGGAACATCATCGTTTTAGTGAGACAACCTATCTTACGACGAGTAGAAGGACAAAAGCATGTTATATGATACTTCCCAAATAGACCTTTGCTTAGAAATGACGGATAAGACGCCAGTATCCTTTACTCCTGATCAATGACGCTCTTGGTTGCGGTTCTGATGTGAATGCATGGAAACCTTCTGGCCAATGTTGCTTCTCGGCTGGAATTCCAAAGGTCAGTCTCACAGTCACAACGTCACATCTCATGCCAAGAACAGACGAAAGATCACTTAAAACCATGAAAATATTTTGAAAACTCGAGTTCTTTATTGGAGAACAAAAGGATGAATCCCGGTAATTTCAGGGGCTGCCTATAACCATCAAATGCGTTATGCCCTCGTCAGATTGTAGTCGCCCCCCTTCCTTTGCATCAATAAAGACCAAACGAGGAAGCCAACCTTTTGACGCCCTACCAATGATCTACCTTCTTCCGCTCGCCTTCGTCACCACGCCTCTTTTTTAGGGTAGAGCAATTTATGCCCTCGACATGACACCCCAGGCACGGATGATGTTGTCAGTGTAGCCAGCGAACAGAGTCTGGCCATCAGCAGACCAAGCCAAGCTGACACACTCAGGCTCTCGGCTCTTCTTGCCGACAGCGGGGAACTCAGGCTTGAGCTCATCAACCTTGCTCTTCTTCTCGAGGTCGAAGATGATGATGCTGCTGGCAGTAGCAGCGCACAGCCAGTATCTGTTGGGGGAGAAGACAAGGGCGTGGATCTCGTCGTTGGCGTTGAGAGAGTAAAGGTGCTTGGACTCGTTAAGATCCCAGAGCATGGTGGTACCGTCCTTGCCACCGGAGGCGCACAGAGAACCGTCGGGGGAGATGGTGACAGTGTTGATGTAGCCGGTGTGGCCGATGTGGTCAGTCTGGAGCTTGCAGGTGGAGAGCTCCCAAACCTGGACATATTGTCAGAATTAATCAAATCAATGCATATGAGCAGATGAATGGAGCAGAGGGCTTTGCAAAAGCTGGGATCAGGGCAATGGTGAATAGTGGTCTCATGGCCTGCGTGAACAGGCTCTGAAGTAGCAAATACTTGGGTTGCAAACATCATGTGGAAGGCGAAGTCACAGGATCTGTCTTGTTTACTGACCTTGACGAGCTTGTCCCAGCCGGCGGAGACAATGACAGGGTTCTGGGGGTTGGGGCTGAAGCGGACGCAAGAAGCCCACTCGGTGTGGCCCTTCTCGGTGATGGTGTACTTGCAGTCACCGAGAGTGTTCCAGAGCTTGATGGTTCGATCGCGAGAACCGGAGACGATCTGGCGGTTGTCGGCAGAGAAGCTGACGGAGAGGACGTCGTTGGTGTGGCCGACGAATCGTCGAGTGGTAGTACCGCTGGCGAGCTCCCAGAGACGCAGAGTCTTGTCCCAAGAGGCAGACAGAGCGTAGGCACCGTCAGAGGAGATGACCTAGTTCCAACAATCAGCCGAGTCCTAAATTACATCTGCCCGCCAAAATGCCATCGTGTGCGGCGGGGCACTGGATGGACGTACACAGTCGGAGACGATGTGAGAGTGGCCGTGGAGGGATCGCTTGGGGTAACCGTACTGGCTCTCATCGCGAGTGAGGTTCCAGATGATCAGGGTCTTGTCTCGGGAGGCAGACAGGAGCATGTTGGGGCTGGAGAAATAATGTTAGTTTAGTGGCCTAGAAGCAAAAGCATGACCGAGGTTGTTCTCGACGTACTTCTCCATGGATGTAGCCAGACTGGTGACCCAGCCATTCTGCAAATAGTCAGCCTTCAGTCCTTCTTCCCTCTTGGGTCATCTCATTCCACGATGCCAACTGCAGACATCTTGATTTGTAGCGGGTCGTAGCCAGCGACAGTCGCGACGCAGCAGCCGGCAGCGACAGGAGCAAGGTTTCATGGGGATCGACGTACGTGGCCCTCGAGAGTGCCCTTCAGGATCAATTGTTCGGCCATGTTTGCGGTGACGAGGCGATGCAGAGGATCAAGGTGCTTGAGGAAGAAAGAGAAATCAAAGGCTGCTCTGCAAAACCTAGGCCGAGTCGGAAGGGAAGGCGGGTTGCGAATCGTACCTGCCCTTTTTTTTGTGTGGGTTAAAAATTACAGAAAGTTAGGGCCTTGAGCTCCGCTTCGACATTAGCGGGGTGCGAGAGGCACACGAGGTACGTACCAGCTTGCTCAGGCAAGTCAGGTTTCTGAATTTTCCACCTCAGTTCTGAGCAGTGTGGCGTTATCCAGGTGTGGCGTAGGTGTGGCTGCCATATACATGGCATGTGGTTGTTCTCCATTCGTGTAAGTCATCGTCATGAGAGATGAGTTACTAGTATCCATTAGGAGATGCATTTCTGACGATGCTTGACGATGTGGTTCTCGGCGAGGCAACCGAAGGTGAAACAGCCTCCAAGGTGCCAGCCATCTCGCCAAAACGCCCCCTCTCCTCAGTTCATCTGTTGGGACTCGAATTAGTCGGCAGTTCAAGCCAGAGAGTTTGAGGATCAACATACGCAGACGACGCAGTAACAATGTGGCTTCAAACGCCGTCACGTTGTTGCTATCACTCTAAACATGTTTAGAATTTGCACAGAAAGGCTGAGATGCAAGCTCGGAGCACAGTGTTGGCCTCGATTCGTTCTCGTTCGGTGTTGTTCTATATCAGCATTCGCTCCATTGCCTTTCTAACCTAAAATAATGCAGTAAGCCTAGTAACGCCTTATGCTCTCCTAGCCAGAGTATTATATACGGGGTATCATGTAAACCATCTTTGTCTGGACTTATTTGGTGTTCATGCCGACTTTTTTGCCAAGGCAGCTGAACGTTTACCAGCCTTGGGAACCTCCTTACGCGAGAACAACGCCTCGCCGTTGACGATCATGCTATGGTCGGCGATCTCCATCTGATCGGTATTCTCCCCTCTACCCTCAGTTGCCATAAATCTCTTCATCGTGGATTCCCATAGACGAAACCGTTCTTTGCCATGTGGATCACGCTCAACTAAATTCTTGACCTCTTTCTGCTTGCGCATTTTGGATGCACGGACTAGTCGCCTAAGAGCATCCTCACCCTGCTGGGCCGTCCTTGCGGCTTCCTCTCGTATTTTCTTCGAGTCTCGAATACTAGTATCCTCCTGAGGAGTGAACTTGTATGTGTGTTTGCTGGGAAAGTCGGGGAAAGAAGAAGGAACATAATCTTTCTCGTCCTTGTCTGGCTGTCCACTGAGCTCTTCCCCCAGAAGTGGTAGGGTCGTGTATGCATCGAGGTCCTCGGGTAGTATATCGACATAACCGGGAAACAGTTGTGTTTTTGAGACAGGAGGCTTCAGGTGCGGTTTCAGCGATGAGACGCTAACATTGTGCCGTCGTAGCGCATGCTCGAAGTCGGTCGGGATAGGATGCTCGCGACGGGCAGCCAGTGCGAGGGTTTTGGCAGCTTCAATCATGCCCTCCAGATCTGAAGTGTATTAGTTATAGAACGCCCATCAGGGAGCTGCAGTCAGCAACTCACACGTCTCTACCATCCCTGTGAAGCTCTCTATTGCCTCGAGGCTTGCTCCTAGAAACCCATCGTGATTGAGAACCATTGCGATCGAACGCTGAAGTCCCGTTCTAGCTTGATAATGCGGATTCGGTACTGAGGATTCAATCGAGCGAGACTCTTCATCCTCGATCTGCATCGTGACGCTTTCCAAGTCTTCGAAGCGAGGGCGTTTCGGGTTAGGCTGTTGCTCCTCGGCAGGCGATAGACTTCGTTTGGGCGTCATTGCAACAAGGTTGTCAAATACAAGATGGCGACGCGTGTTGGTGCAAGAGTGGAAAAAGTCTTATAAATTTCCCATGGAAAGGCTGTATATTGTGACGCCTTGTTATATCGAGATCTTCTTGAGGTGTAGGCAATGAGAGGCTACCTAGGTATGCAGAGATCACTTGAGTCGTTAGTGACGAGGCTGAATGCACCTTTGTGATATTTGCAGGAGCTGGAGCAGTTCGGTGCCGGAAGCTTTCGTCAGTAGCGCGCTCGGAGAAGCTTCGGCTCATATTGGATGCATGTTTCTCCAGGTCCTCATGGGAACCACCACCTACAACAAAGGATGGCGAGCTCTCTCACCATTGTTCAGGTATGCCGTTATTATCATTTATGGCATTTGAAAACCCACTGGCTTGCGGAAATCTAGCACTAGGGACATGTCTTGCGGCAAAGTTCAACATATGGTGCATCGCGATAGCCCAACCTTTATGGATATTCCAGCGAGTTCCCGCTAACAATCTATGCACTTCGAATTGTTGACACCCACTGTCGATAGAATGTTAATTAGTGAAGACAAGTACTCCGTACGTCACGAATGAATATCCTAAATTCTCAATCAACCAGGAAAGGTATTGCCGTGGAGAACCCAGGATCTCTTGTGCCGTGTGTGTGTGTGAAATTAATGGCTGTATTAATGGGGTTCTAGACCAAAAGATCGCCGCCCGTCGTTGAAGTGTCGCTGTGATTCCCAAACTCGCAAATACAACCCAACGCATTGTGACCCATGCTAGCCATGCTTTGCCATGCTGTCTTACAGCTTCTCACATGCAAGTCGATAAGATTGTATACATGCCAATCGGCTAAGCAAGAAAGATGTGGCAGTGGATTGCTAACGATTTTGACCGACACTTTGAAACAAGCCTTTTAGAGAAGAAATGAGCCCTGCATTTCGAGGTTTGATGCTGTTGTTTGACCCAGATTGCAGGGTTCCGTCAAAGTGATAAATCAACCACCCACAGACACCAGTCTTGGTCATTAATTACCTACATCTGCAGGCTCTCACTCTATTACTCCGTACTCGCTCAGCTAATACGCTTCAACGTCAAAGCGTATCACGACAATCTTAATTTTCGTCATTTCCGCAGATACTCAAGTACGGCGTACATTGAGGACCCTGGGACCCTTTCAGCAAAGAAATAATAAGCTTACCTATACGGCACTTCTTTAGTCGGTTCGAGGCCCTTCGATCTTTTATCCTCACCACCCACCTCCTAACAACGCGCACCTTTTGAAAACAAATGATACCTGAAACAAATGTACGAGTCAGAAACGATACAAGCGCAGACTGAGTTGCCGATTCTCTTGTAGATATATCTATCGACCTTAGTACCTTATAATCACCAAGTAACACAAAGAACACACGAATCCTAAAAGGTACCTATTCAGATGCCCCTTACCCTGCACAATTATTCAATTCCCTTGCCGCATCACAAAGAGTTTGACTTCAGTAAGGCCCTAAAGCCCGCCATACCAAAGCTATCAATCCCACCCTGCCCGTCCATGGACATATCTTGCCTCAAATACCGAAGGCTGGACTTTTGGTGGTATCATTGACCCACGTGTTAACTCGTTTCGCCAGCGACACAGTCAGTTCCCTTTTGTATTACTACCACCTTCAACATGTTTCCTTTCGACCAAGCCTCCCTCCCTCAAATAACAACCCGCAAAGCCCTTATTGGTGTGGATTTTCAGCATGACTTCATATCCAAGGATGGAGCTTTACCTGTCCACGAGCCGGAGGACTTTGTGGACCAGACCATCAAGCTGGCCCAGGCATTTCGAGGAGTCGGTGACGTTGTGTGGGTTCAGTCACAATTTAGTGAGACCCGACCTGTGCTTCAAGAACAAATCCTTGTAAGCGACATCGCGCCCAAAACACCACGAGCTTCTAAGAGAGGCCGACCAAACATCCCGGTTCAACCAATCGACGCCGATGGCCCGCCAGATGAAGAGGCATTCCTGAGCCACGAGGTTGCTACATGTGTCAAGGCGGACACGCCTGGCTGCCGGATAGCTTCAGCCATAGAAGACTCGTTGCCTAAAACAGACACAAGGTTGACCAAATCTCACTATTCAGCCTTCCAGTCAACCCACCTGTTGCGCATACTGCGTGCTAAGATGGTCATGGAGCTCTTCATTTGTGGATCACTCACCAACATTGGTGTATATGCCACAGCTCTTGATGCCGCAGGCCATGGAATGGCAATCACCATCGTCGACGACTGTTGTGGTTACCGATCAGAGTCTAGAAAGACTTCGGCAATAGCCTCTCTGATAGAACTGACTGGATGCGAAATTGCTTCGTATGACGAGGTCATGGAGGCGATACAACCCAAGCCCAAACCTAACCCCCCCAAGTCAAGAAAGCCCCCATCTTCGTCCAAGGTCCAGGAACAATCCCAGACTGCAAAGTCAGATCTTTCAAAAGGCGAAGGCCGCGAGAAGAGTACTACCCCGGATTTTGTCAAGGACATGACAAGTCTTCGGCTGGCTTCAAATCCCCCAAGCCCCGCATCAACACCGACTCAGCCCCAGCCAAAGGCGTTGTCGACAAGTGCAGCTGAACACCATGAGTCAGAGGTCAGCCCGGAATCGAAGGCTACAGAATCAAATGGTGTTAATCAGATCAAATCTACTGGGGCACCCAATGGCATACATGAGTCGAACAAGGCCAAGGATTCCCCTATTAAAGCCGGACCAGATTCAGGATTATTGGATCATACTTCTAAAGACCACGAAGAAAGCACAAATATAGATTCCCAGCACAATACCACGCAAAGTCCAGACCAAGCCATAGAGCCATCGCCTCCAGCCCAGACAAGCCAGAAAGAAGAACAGACCATCGCATCACCTCCAGCTCAACCGACCAGCAAGCACGAAGCACAGACAATGAAAGCACAACCAGACAAGACACAGGAAATACCCGAGATGAACAAACCAGCGGCTAAACATGATGCCAACCTTCAACAGGAAGGCCTGTGCGAAGGAGATACCGACATCATTGAGGATGTTCTTCCTGAGCCGTTACTTGAGGGCATCTTCGATAAGTTGCGCGAGGAGGTTCAGTGGCAGCGCATGTCTCACCAGGGTGGGCAAGTTCCACGACTTGTTGCTGTTCAGGGCGAGATCGGACCAGACGGGAGCATCCCAGTCTA